AAAAAAAAAAAAAGAAATATTTGGTTTTACTCATAGAGTTCGTCCATCATCTGGATTCGAGCACAGGTCTGTATTTCAACAGTTCAGTGGTGTACCCACTGAGCTCGGCTCTTGGGTTCCAACCTTCTTTGCCGGGGCTAGGTCCCACTTGCACGAATTAAGAGATACTGACCGTAGATAGCGAAGATCAACGGCGCAAATCTCCTAATTTGCGCAAGTGGGACCTTGCCCCCGAGATGGGACCTCCCCCTTAGCAATTCACGTAGCACACGCACAGGTGTCTGTATGCTCTGCGAGGAGGTCAAGCTCACACGACAGTTTTTTTTGTTTTTTTTTCCTGCTCACGTGGCAGGTATGCCAGTGGCTGTAGATGAGGGCGACCCAAATGCCCTGCGACAGGTCGGACCTGCTGTGTTCCGCCGCCCAGCAAAGACCCAGGCCCAGGTGGGACCACGTCCCGAGGCCAGGCTTGTGGGGAATGGACGTCAGACATAATAATCCACGTGAAGCTATGGTAGTGCCCCCGTTCCTTTCTCTTTGGGCCTCGCACACTCACATACAAACACACATACTTAAAAAAAAAAAACAAAAAAAAAACACATACAACACGCATACACACCGAGGCACAGTCATAATTTTTGTGTTTAAAAAAAAAGAATTTTTTTGTGTGTTCTTTTGGGTGTGTCTGACGTGAAACTCTGGCAGACATCGGGCTCTCGCTCGACTACACAACAGACTGTACAATGTCATGCATTTGGACGTTTTCTGGTCCCGATGCATTTTCCTTCACACGGCTATGGTGTAGATGCGAGTTCATGCATTGGGACGCTTTCTGGTCCCGATGCATTCTCCTTCACACGGCTATGGTGTAGATGCGAGTTCGTCTTGCCATGGCCGGTTTGAGCGCATACTCACACCACGACCTTCGTCGGTGTACCTGACGGCAATTCGTGTCCGGGCTGCATGACTATGACCGCAGTTACGTCCATGGAGGAGCGGAAAATGTCTTGGTGTGAGTATGCCCTGATTCTGACGTGAAGAATGGTCGTCTGACACTTCGCCCAACTCTCTCTCTCTCTCTCTCTCTCACACACACACACACACACACGCACACACACACACACACACACGCACTCACGCAGACACACACACACATACAACACACATACACACCGAGGCACAGTCATAATTTTTCTGCAGTTGTGTACAGCGAACATAAGAAGACCCGCACGCACAGAGATGACCGAGGGCAAGGTCCCACTTCCGCAAATTAGGAGATTTCGGCCGTTGATCTTTGCTATCTATGGTCAGTATCTCTTAATTCGTGGAAGTGGGACCTTGCCCCAGAGCTCGCCGCTTCTTTTGGATGTGTCTGACCTGAAACTCTGGCAGACATTGGGCTGTCGCTCGACTACCGTAGTCAACACTCTACATGCATTTGGACGCTTTCTGGTCCCGATGCATTCCAAAAAATGACGGACTCCTCAAAACTCACCCGGTCGAGGAAGGCGTCCAAATGCATGTGGAGTGTTGAGTAGTTGGGCGAGACCCGTTGCATAATGTTAGAGGCTGATCAGGCTCTGCTCCAGGCGGCGGATCCGACGAGACATAATTATGTGGTGCTTTCTTTTTTTTCTTTTTTTTTTGGGTGCATGCGATGGACAGTCCTTCGGGACATTTGTTGGGAAAAAAACAACAACAAAAAAAAAAAAAAAGGGCGGGGGGGAGACATCTGTGTTGGAACGATACAGAGGAGTGGAAAAAAAAAAGAAGAGCGATGGACAAAAGGTGGCCGCTCCAGGTTTTGATGTTTGGGGCTCGGTCCATTAGACAGCGCTGTCCATGCATTTGGACGATTTTTCTGGTACCGATGCATTCCAAATGTTGGACTCGTCCAAATGCATGTAGACTGCTGAGTAGTGGAACGAGGCCGTTTGCCTCCAGCATTGATTTCCATCGCCCGGTGGAGTGACGGCGGATTGCACAGCGTCTTCTTCTTCTTCTTCTTCTTTTGAAACGGCACAGCCTTTTTTTTTTTTTTTTTTTTTCCTGAAATGGCACAGCCTCTTTTTTTTTTTTTTTTTTTTTTTTTTTTTTTTTTTTTTTTTTGGTGCAGTCTTTTCTGGCTACTACCTGATTTTGGAAAGAAGGTGGCCCGCTGGCAAGAGACCCAGTTTTTTTTGTACCCGAAAACAGACGTGGCTCGTTCCCAGCCAGTTTCGGCGCCTGGGCCGCGAATGAGGTGGCCGGGTTTAGGCTCGGGTAGGGCCTGGCTCCACTAAAATTTACTCCACATGCATTTGGACGGTTTCAGGACCAGGTGCGTTCGGACGAGTCCAAAATTCTGAATGACCTGTGCCCAGAAAGAGTCCAAATGCATGTGTGTGGAGTATTCTATACAGTGGAGCGAGTCCCTTAGGGGGCTCCTGGGTGGGACCTGGTGGGGTTATCACGCTTCGGAATTTAGGCTTCGTCTTAGGTTCGTCGAGGGGCCAATTTGTCCGCAGAATTCTCATCTCATCTCATCTCATCTCATCTCATCTCATTTCATGGCAGCGCAGAGTGAAGCTCTCTGCCCCTGCGTCCTCTTGGGCCTCGCTCCACTACTCTGCACATGCAAAAAAGACAAAACATATGGCGGCGTATCTTTCTGTGTTCTACCAGAAGATTCATTTCTTTTCCTTTTTTTTTTAATATGAAGATTCATTTCTCATTTTGCACGTTTTTTTTTGTTTTTTTTTTTTGAATAGTAGTGGAGCGATAAAAAAATAAATAAAAATAGTAGTGGAGCGAGGCCCCTCGTCAGCGTCGATGAGAAGTAGTAGGAGAGGAGAGGTAAGACCTTGACCCTTCGATGAACGAGGTGTCATTAATCAAATAATCGGACATCAAATCCACCAACGAGCGGACGAAGGAACGAGCGAGCGGAACGGACGGACGGACGGACGGACGGACGGACGGACGAAGCGCGAGGCGGGCAGGTGTGCGCTCCAAGGAGTTCGTCTTCACTGGCGCGCGCGCGCGCGCACGCGCACACGCGCGTGAGATCTGCCCGCCTTGCCTTCATGACTCTCTCTGTGGCACGAGGAGGAGGTGTAAGCGAAGGCCGCCGGGGCGGCGGGGCGGAATGCGGGGAGAGAGATGTGCGAGGTGGTGCGTCGGGCAGCGGCGGCCCGTATGAACGGACAAATGTACTCATAACTGGCGACGCAGCCTTTCCCAGTCAGGAAATTACTTTCCCGAAGGGGGAAGTTTGGGAGTTAAAACTGGAGTCAGTCTGCAATCATCATTCAAAAAAGGCGCGGTGAATGAAAACTTCGGCGGGGTAAAAGAAAGGGAAAAAAGAGGAAAAAAAAAAGAAGAAAAAAAAACAAATTATTAAAGCAGCAGGGCATGGAGGGTGCTCGTGGGCGACCGGTTGGCCAGGCGGGGKGGGCGGGCGGGCTGGCGAGCGGGCTTGGGGATTTTGGGGATTTTGGGGATTTGGGGGATGGGAGTATAGTGTGTAGTGTGTAGTGGTAGTGTGTGAGGGTTTTCTTACGTGTACGGGGCCTCGCTCCGTTGCGCTCGACATGTACGGCAAATGACAAAATTCGTGGCGGTGTATCTGTCCATGTTTCTAGGTAACTATTCACTCTGATCTTGCGCATTTTCTTTTCTTTGCTGAAGGGTAGTAGTAGTAGTAGTAGTAGTGAAGCGAGGCCCGACCTGACCGGCGGGGGCGGGTTGAAGTTCAAGGGGGTTCCCAAAAAAAAAAAAACTTAAAAAAAAAAGTTCAAGGGGTGGGTTATCAGTCGAGATCGGGTGTTGGCGGTCGGTCGCGAGTCGGGGTCGTATCGACTACAGGGGCGGGCAGTCGACAGGCGGTGCTGTCAGGCGGCCGGCGGGACAAGAGAGGGGCGGCGGGAGAGATGGCATGCCGCCGGCGGGGGAGGGCCGCCGGCGAGCCGCCGGCCGGCCGCGCCCAAGGGGCTTGCTGGGTGGCTTGCTGGGTGGCTGGCTGGGTGGCTGGCGGAGTAGAGGGGTCGGCGGTGTGGGTGTGGGTGTGGGCGTGGGGTGGGGGTGTGTGGGGGCCGTGTTGGCGGCCCGCCGAGGGGCGGAGGCGGGTGTGGGGTTGGAGTGTGAGGGAGCGCCAACAGGGAAAGGAGGCGCTGCGCTGGGTGCAAGGCGGCGGACGGCGGCAGGAAGTAGGAGCGCGAGGAAATCGGGAGGCAGGGAGACTGGGCTCCGGCGGGGTGCTGCAGCGAAGTGGGGAAGTGGGGAAGAGGGGACGGCAGCGGCGTGGTGGGTGGGGTGTAAAGGCGGCGCGGTGCGCAGAGGGAGGGGCGTATTGATACGAAGACAGGAAGGGGCGCGGGCGACGCAGAGAAGAGCGAGAGTGAGAGAGAGGGAGGCTTGGTGCGGGGGGGGGTGTTGGCGGCCACGCGGGCATCGGACGTCAAAACCGGTGAAGCGCATCAAAGATCAATTAAACAGCAGGGCGAACCGCCTGCCTCCGTCACTTCCTCCCCCTCTTCCCCCTCCCTCCTCCCTTCTCCCCCCTCTTCCTTCTCCCCCCTTCCTTCTCCTCTCCCTTCTCCCCTTCCTTCTCCGCCTCGATTACTCGGTCTACCCGCGCTCCTCCGCATCAGCAGCTGCACAACTAAGGATCCTTACCACAAGCGACTGGCTGGCTCTTTACCGCTCGTTTGGAAACGCCCCCCGTTTTTTTTTTTTCGTTTGCTACGACATCGGCTTACTGGCGCGCACACACATACACCCGGACAAATCGTGTTGTGTGTTTGTGTGTGTGTGTGTGTGTGTGTGTGTGTGTGTGTGTGAGAGAGAGAGAGAGAGAGAGAGAGAGAGAGAGAGAGAGAGAGAGAGAGAGAGACCGACGGGCCGACAACTAGAGGTAGGAGGAAGACCGCGTCGTCGCACGCACACGTGCCGGTGTCAAACACGCGGGACGCTCACACACCCACGCACACACAAGACACGACGAAGAAGAAGAGAGAGAGAGAGAGAGAGAGAGAGAGAGAGAGAGAGAGAGAGAGAGAGAG